CTTGCTTTGCCGACCTAGCCAACCTACAAGACCATGGCAAACCGAAATGAAAAAAACGTGAATCCATGGTGCAATTTCTGGAGGGCCGCTAAATAAAGAAACCTTTTATTGACTGTTACTGGGGAAGGGATGGTCTCAATGAATACAACATACTCCCAGTTTTCGTGGATTCACCCATTCTGGGACAATCAACATCACCCTGAAGTCGACCTCAGAAAATGGGTACTAATGTCATCAAAGTTCCACCTGTTTTTTGATGTCTTTTGTTTAGGACCATGAGTTTAGGGCTTAGGGTTTAGGATTATGAGTCATATCCCAAATGCCAAAGCAGGAGACTCGGGCATACTAGACGCAACCCTCGTCTTCCAGGCGGCTCGGCTCGTTCTTCGCCCCCGATCCCCGACGGCGCGATGCGCGCGACGACGCGATGTGTCCAGCAATGAAAACGGTCCGGTCGGACACCGTGGTGGTGGACGTTTGAAAGCACCTCGCCCTCATCCACCAGCTGGATCAGCATCTTCTTCACAGAATCCAAGCTCACCTCTGGCTGATCAAGCATCCGGTCCGCTGCTCTCTTCCGATGGAGCTGTTCGACTCCCCAAACACATGATCCTGCCAACCGTTTGTTCGCTTCAAGGCACTCAAAGATCAGACCAAAAAGATCCAAAAGGGGCTACTCCGCTGGATAGAAGATCCGGAAACTGAACACCACCCCACGTGCAGCATGGTGTAGCGGGGTCTGCAGGAAAGCAGAAGGGACTCAGGGTGCGAAGAACCGAGTTTTCGGGTCCTTGAGGAGTTTCCCTATCCAAACACGACCTGTCTGGCACAGACATATTTGAAAGCCATGGTGGGGTGTCAACCACTGGGTGTCAACCACCCCGGTCGGTAAAATACTATAGGTAAAATATAACCAGTCCCATGGAGTGTATGGCGATCCACGGATCCACCCTCTTTTTGGTCAGGTTTTCGGTGTTCGACTTGACAGCGATCACATGGAGGATGGAGAAGAAGATCTATTGGGAGATGAAGACAGCAGTCGTCCAGCCTGTTTATATTCCCTAGGGTTCCAGTCGTACCGTCGTACCTTCTAAGAAGGGGTTTGGGGTGGGTGCCAGGAGGGTCCAGTCATACCTTCTGAGGAGGTACGACTGGAGCCCTAGGGATTGAGTTCTCAAGGCCCGAGGGGCCCTCCTATTTTTCATGTCGATCTATGTCTCCATCGACTCCAAACTCATTCCAGCAGAAAAAAAGTGCGACTCGAAGCTCACCAGAAGTGGCCGACCATGCAAGACCCGTGCGGGACGTCGTGCGGGAGTTTTTTGTTGCAGAAGCTGGGTTTGTCTGTCCCTCGCAGGGAGGTCCATACCAAACAAATGAGATTATTTACCGATCAGTTGGTTGAAATGGTGTCAATATGGGTCAATGTATTGCATATATATATGATATAAAAAAGAAAAAAACAAATCGAAGTAGTTATACCGAGATATACTGAGTAACTCCTTGTGTTCTTTCCCGTGTCCAACCTTACTGTGCTAAATTGTGCAGCTATAATGGCACTTGGTCTAGCTTCCATCTTCTGGTGGGTCGAACACGTAGTGGTCTCTCTAATTCATACACTGATCTTAGGCAGCTTGAACAAGCTTCCCTAACCCATGCCTTGTTGTCCTTCTCCAGCTTCTGCACCGCCTGAGAAAGGGAACCGAACCACTGACATGGTCATGGCTTTGATAATCAAACATGATGCTTTCTTGATCGTAATAGAAAAAAAGCAACCTTTCAGAAACAAAACACAACTGAGTTTGTTCACTGTTCAAGTGGAAAACAGCCTTACATGCACTTCAGAGTGCTGAAGTGACTCCATAGTATAGTATATACACGAATGTATTCAACAGAACTCAATGAAATGTGGGTCTTTCATGCATCTCATATTATACCCTGACTTCAACAAACTGTCCTACACGCATGGACCGCATTGGTGATAATGACGTTCTTCCCAAGCTCTTTACTCTCAGCGAAATGTGTGGGACTGGTTACTATATCCAGGCACTCCATATAATTGTGACATAATATGACATACATGTACCATCATGTACCCATCCAGGTATATAACTATATTCACGAGTCCATACATACATGGCCCTTGGAAAGAAACTGTCAAACTTCGCAGACCCCGAGTGATACGTGTATGCTTTTCCCCATGCATAATGGCATCTGTCTGTGACACAAGACCCTGCAAAAAGCCTTCTACTGACTGGAGTTGATCATTCCAAAAAACCGGTTCTACCCGGCACCAAAGAGACGCATCTCTCATCTCCCTACAGAGGTCCACAGAGGCACCTGCTTGATCAAAACACCCGCTGCTAGTTGGTTTCCCTAAGGATCCGCACCCTCAAAAACAAGGGTTTGGTTCGGGTACAAACCCTTGTTATAGAGGATTCGACCCCTTCTAGGAGGGTCCAACGATCCTTAGGGTTGATTTATTTGGGTCATCATCTGAAAGACTCGTCTTCTCACCTTTAACCCTCCCACATGTGTAGTCACCGGCCTCAGGTGCAGAATAGCCCACCTCATCACCTTGCTCAGCCTGCGCAAAAAAAACGCTGCGGTTCTATCGCTGCCACATCGGCGAAATGAACCTTGCACCCCGAAGGCATTCACCTTGCATTTCCTGTCCAGGTACTGGGGAAAGAAACACCTCTAAGCAAAACCAGTTTGATTTGGGAGGGGCACGAAGACAATACCCGTTTTTCTTTAAACCAGCAGAAGCACCTTCTAGATTAGGATAACCCTTGTTGGAGATGGCTGATGCCAATCCCCTGTACCCAGTGAAACCTCTGTGAATTGGAAGTGATAGCTGTACTACTGCCACTATGGCAGCAAAAATGCTCAAAAAGCTCATGGAAACCACGTTAAAGTGCTTGGTCACCGGGGGCCCATCTCTATTTCTGGCGGCGATCCGCCAGTGTTCCACACCGCCCTCTTCCTTGCACAGCAGCCACCGGGGTGCTTTGGATCCTCAACTTGTGCACTTCCTTTGAACATCGCCAACTTGCCTCATGGCCATGGGTTCCAACATCGAACTCTACAAACCATGACCCCCCCTGGAGGCGAGAACTCCCCGGAAGCGAGAACTTTTGTGGAGGCGAGAACTCCGAGGCTGGTTTTCAGGACCCCCTGGGCCGTTGGGAGGTCAGTGACCTCAAATCTAGGCCTAGAAGTGACCGCAAATCTTGGGATCTCGGTCACCCGCGCTTCAGCTTTTGGTGCGCATCTTTGGCATCTTGTAAATTGATAAACTCAGTACGTCGTACCCGGTGTTCTACCTGCTGCAAAAGCATGCAAACACCCAAAACACCACCAAAACAACACACAAAGAACCCTTCATACACCGCACGTTGGCACACAAACCGTTGGCCAGCAAAGGTGCCTCCCATGCGCCGCCACCCGGAAGCCCCCTGCGAAGCCGACCTTGGCCTGCAAGATCTTCATGAGCGCAGAACGCAACGGAACGCCCTGCGTGCGGCCGTGCGTGCCGTCCCGGGCGCGGCCGCGTCTGGGATGTTGTCATTCTCACGGATCTCAGTATCCAAAGAGCGATTCCAATGTGTTATCTGATTCTGAAGGGAATTTGCACTTGCTCAACATAGTATCACCTGCAGGAGGCAGCAAACCGATCAGCCGCCTCCCAGAAACGAAGCAAATCTCAATCCAACCGCCTCAGCCCAGGTGGTTTCCGGGATCAGAATCGGACAATCACAAGTTGTGTGATATGCGGGTGACTCAGTTGTTCCTTTTCGTTAGACTCAGACATGGCGTCGACACACCCTGTCAGGTCTTTTCTCATTCAAGCAACAGGTTTTGTCTCTTTTCCCGGGCTCAGATGTAAGAGGGCTCTCCTACATGCCACAACTGGGTCTCCACCCATGAAGATGTATATCTCCAGTCCCACCACTCATGGGACTGGCAGTCCTGACTTCCGATCAGTCGGGGTGGATGATGCTGGCCCAAGTATTCCATACATAGAGTCTCTGGTAATCTTCCAACTTGTGGTAATCACTACCATATCCGAAGGCATCCATTCCATGGCGCAGTTCGATGGCCTGACTGGTGGTGATGTGTACTCACATGGATCGTTCAGTCGGTGGATCGTCTAGGACCGTTCAGCCAACCATCTTAAACATATTGCAGGCACTCCATGTTTTGGAATATTATGGAATATAGTCTGTTGATGACTTACCTTAAATATAAGCCATTACATTCTACACATTTATAAGATCTTATCCCATGAATGTCTGCACGACGCATGTTACATAGTTCTTGTTTAAATACATTTACCACATGCCTTGTATGACCCCAATGGTCACAAACGTCGATTTTTTTCACCTGTCCCATGGCCCGCCTCGAGGACTGTGATCTGGGTGGAGACCGGGACTGGCATTTTAGCACCTTCAGCATCCACCTGGAGGCGGACAGGGCGTGTGGCCCCAAGGGCCATGCCTAAAGGGAAGTCCCGGGAGATGTCGCCGTGAAAGGGGTTGGGGAAGCAAATAGTTGTGAAGCATGGGGTCGGGTGGTGAGCGGGTCAGGAAACTTGGGTTTTTGGATGTTTTTGGGCTAGATTCTGGCCTGAGTTGTTTTGCAGGGAATCATGACAACACACTCTTCCAGTTACTGGCAGGTGGAGGTGTTTTTTCCCTCAGAAGCCCACCTTCACCCACCGGATGCGCCGGCCCACCCGCCTGCGCTCCCGTCCGAACCCAGCGCTCCCCGGGCGCCACCCGCCTCCATGTGCGGCTCCGCATCGGGCGTCGTGGACTTCTCGGGTGTCCAGGGTCTCCGATGCAAACCGCTGGACGAGTGGACGGTGGTCGGCTTCGCGACACGGTCGACCACGGTTTCGTACTGTTGCAAGTGAGCGGGCAAGTGAGCGGTTTTGGAGGATTCTGCCAGGCAATCGTCGAATCTTGTGGTGACCAAATATGTTGCAACAGCTCAGGTCGATATGTTCAACAACTGGTATTAGGCGATACATAATTGTTAGCAAGGCGGATTGACTCACCTCCCGTTTTCCCAGATTCATCCAGATTCAGAATCTTCGAATATCCCTGGGATACCCAGGGACATGTTCATTATGATTCAGTACCAGCTTTTACAGCAAACAACTCTTGTGTGCTGCTAGAAATGGAAAAGGGACCTGTGGGACCTGCGAAGCCCGATATCTCGAACATCTTTCGATCGCAAATGTCTGAAGAGGATTTGACCCCAACACACCTCTCCCAACCAAACCTGTCAAGCTGTCCTGCCCACTCATTCATGGACGGCTCGACTCTATTGGGGCCCCAAACTCAGTGCTCTGCAACTTTGGTGCAGGGGTCGTGAGGTCTGCGCCTGCCGCACCGCGACGTACGACGCAGGGTGTTGGGTCGCAGGGTGTTGGGTCGAATGGTGTTTCAGTCTCGAGCATAGGAGCGATGGGCTTTTTCAAGGAAAGAACACCGGGTTTTCTGAGCTCTTCTTTGGTAGTGAAGGATAGGCCCATAGGCATCGGCATGTGTTATTTCAGCCGCAAAGAACTTTTTGCTGGCCAGCAGCTTTCAATCCAATACCTGCCAAGTTCATTTGGTGGGAGTCTCTTCTCACTTCTCACTCAAGTTCTGGGTCAATCTCCACTTCCATCGTGCGATCCCTCTCCCACCCTGAATGACCCATCTAATTGACCCCGATGACCTTGAGGGTGAACCCCGGGGCAGACGTCAGACCAAATGGGTGGAAAAACCCACCATGTGAGTGAGTCGCAGTGTATCAGTAGTGTCTGAATTATGCCAAATGAGCATCCCTTGCTACGTTCGTAGCTTCTTGTTACGTTCGTGGCGATGGCTTTTACCCTACCAACGCAATGGCCTCCACCCTACAAACGCGTCCATGCTTCTAGTGACATAACCCAACTCACCTGATATAGAGTTACACTTGGCCAACATGCCCCGCAAAGAACTGACCCGAGCTCGGCCGGACCCTGAAGATTCACCCATGGTGTCGACATCTTTCGACCCGGACCCCCCTGCAATCCAGTGGTTTCGAGGGTCGGGTCCAGGGTTCATGTGGAGCAAGGTCATCCATGGCGTGGTTTGACCTGGTTTGACCCAGCATGCTGATCGATTGCACGCAAGTTTGCTGGACGAAGTCATGTTTGCTCCCTTCGAGGGAAAGAGGTCACAAAGACATGAGACCCTCCCAAAAATCACATCTTCCTGGAAACCTGGCCCCAACCGAAAAAAACAGTTCTGGACGGAACTTCCCAGTCTCGACCACTGGGACAGCACTTGTTTTCAGGATCTCAAGCTGGTGAGCAGCTTCTGGTTGGGACGGGGTTTCCTTCACGTGAAGGGTCAGAAGAGATGACCGTTCCTTTAGAAAAACAATGAAAAACACAGAGCCTTTTTGGGTTCAGGTCACTCATCTCCAGTCGTAGTATGAGGCCATGAACAAAAACCGGACCCTGCAACACCATCATGAGCCCTTTCAACCGTTTTCTTCGGTACAATAGAGGTTTAAGGAGCAGTTTTCTCAGGTAACTTGGAGGTTTAGGGATCCACCTCCCTTCAAATCTCACTCTGAGAGCCCCAGCTGAGTCCCCCAGTCTGCTGAGCACACTTCAAGGCACTGTGAGCCACCTGATGTATGCCACGGGTGTGTGTCCCACCTGCCGCCCCTATTGTGGAAAAGCCCAATGACCAGAAGCCATGCACCGTCTCGACACTTGAAAAAGACAAGCCCTGGGAGAGTGCGAACACATGCCAAACACTGCTGCACCCCCTGGTAGAGGTTTGATGACCGGTTGTGCCAAGAAGTGCGCTGAGAGAGATTGTACACTGCTGAAATCATCATGGTTACGGGGATGGCATGGCCCCGTATGGATGACCATTCCCCAAATATGAAACCTTCCATGGAATGTAACTCGGAGTGTATGAACCATTTTTCATGATTCCCCAAAGAACCAAGGAAACACCGAACACCATGTATTGGTGCCAGGCGTCTTTGGAGTTCCAGCTCTAGATGTTGGCCAGCTCAATATTGGAGCTTGTTTCAGCACCCAGTAAGGATGGTGATTAGATGGAACAAACATGGGATTTGGCGGGTCTATCAGCTCTATCAGCCATCCGGTGAATCTTCACTTCCTTTACAACAAACGGATCTTCAAATCCAAATTTCAAGTGGATGCCGGAATTGCTTCAGAAACCAGCCGAACATACTCCTCATGCCAGCCGATTCACCCAGGAACTGGGAAAATGCTCAAAACCGATGTGTGACATGTAACATGACATGTGACATCATGATCCAATCTTCTGGTCTTCTTCGCATCGTCCTGTTCCGCTCCGCATTCGGCGGACTCGCGTCTCACGCGTCGCCGGAAGACACCTCAAGGAGGTGGTGGGTGACGTCGTCCGCCTGGGACGGTTCGGTGAACCAAGAGCCGCAAGCAGAAAGACTTGTACCGTACGGGAAACCAGATGTTTCCTCCAGGAGCACCAAGAAATTCTGCGTGTTTTGCTTCTCTAGGTAGAAAACAAAGACTCTTGAAGTACCAACATTGACATCTCCGGATGTCTTGCACCGTTATGCTCATTTTCGGTCCAAGGTTCAACAGGCTAATAGCGGGCCAAAGGAGAGAACTTCATTGAGGACCATGGACGACTGAAAGCTATCGATGTGGACGCCCAAGAAAGGTAAGGCTTCAAACACTTGGCACCCAATTCTACAGGTCTCCTCTAGACTCTCAATTGACCTGGCAGTGAGGTGTTTGTAGAAGGCCGAAAGCAGCTTTGTATTACTCAAAGATTGAAAAATCTCAATTGCCTGGCCACCCCACCCTGAATTCCTTGGGCCCTGGTTCAGGTTCTGGCAGAACGACTCCTCTGCACATGACGGGCTTGGACTGTTCCAGAACCAACCACCAGTTTGACTGTTTGACCAGTCCTTTGGCTTTGGGCTTGGATTTTTTTACAACTTACATGTTCACCAAATCTTGGGCTGTCCTATTGCCTGCAACAGTCAGCAAGCAATTATCATTATTTTAGAGAAAGGCCTGCAACCTAACCATCATCATGCACTGTTACTGGCTATGGGACCCCAAATCATACCCTTCATCAATCCCTGTGTCTCCTTGGCCCTTACATCTCACCCCATGTTCCTTCAATCCCTGCTTCCTCGCAATCCCTCGATGTTTCTCCTTTTCCACGGCCCGAGCTGGGCGCCGCAGGCCGACTTCACGGGGCGCAGGATGGACACGGAGAAGTGGGGCGACGGGCTACTGCGGAAGTGACCAAAGAGCTTCACCTCGAGGGCTGGAGGAAGCGCGCTGTTTTAGATGGGTGGGAGCAGTTTTGGAGGCTTGGGTGGATGGAATCCAGCTTGAATAGAGGGTTCTTCTATGTTTTTCTTCTCAAAAGTATGACTGTGCCATACCCCAGGGCCCCTCCAACCAACCAAGGCCTGGTTCCGCCGGCGGTGTCGAACGCATGCAGTTTCTGCCGCAAGTCTTTCACATCCACCTGCTTGTCTGGACCAGTGTGTGAAGGCCAACCCTGGCCCGGCCAGTGTTGGTTTGTCTCTTTTGCCAAACATGAGTTGGTTGGTATGGCTCCCCTCGTGGTTTGGATCAATATGGCTCCCTCTGTCAGTGTCTTGTCTCTTGGAGCCAGCGAGACTGCTCCCTCTTCCTTCACCCTCGCTGCTATCGAAATATTGCGTCGATTCCCAAGGGCATCCTCCCTCAGTTCCTCAGTTCTCCCCAATTCCAGTTCGCTTGTGAATCTACTCCCTAGGGATCCAAGTACCTTCTCAGCAGGTGAGGACGGAGACACTGTTATGTAGGTTTGGAGTCCAAGTGCCTTCTGAGAAGGTACTTGGATCCCTAAGGACTGGATTTCTCTGATTTCTCTCATTCCTCTTCCCAGCGGCTCGGTGAAAAACACGCCGTCCCAACTCTCTCGATCTGCTCTCCGTTCCTGAGGCAGCCTGGCCCAACTGCCGACGGTGAAGCTCTGAATGGCCTTCTCCTGCGCAGAGCGGATGTTCGCTCTGTTTTCCAAGGAAGAACTCTCCCAGAAATGGGGGAGTAAGAGTGTATACCAGCAGTCACAAAGGGGTGCTATCCATGGAGGTTAGGAGTGCCTATTGTCCACTCACTGGATGTGACTAAACACCACCCGTAACAGTGACTCCTGGTATGATCTGTATCATGGATGACTAGTGAAGACATGTGAAGACTCTTCTCCCCAAGGAGTGATACTCTTTGGCCAACAGATCCGACAGATCACGGGACACCACCTACCCAGGAACCTGTTAGAAGCCTGGCAGCCTGGCGGCGTCTTTCGACCGTCCTGAGGAGGGTCATGTAGAAGACTGTCCATCAATCCATCTCAACCATGTAAAGAGGCATTCTGGTACGGGAGGTTGTATTCACTCACAGTATCTGACAGTCTACATTACAGTGGCTGAAGAAAGGTTCTTCATGACTCTTCGTTATTAAGTCCTTTCTCAAACAAGTGTGTCATGTGCGTTGACGTTTGCACCCAACAAAACGACATGAGTGATCATAGGCAACAAACACCTGCTGCAACTAGAAAGGGTCCTGGTCGGAAATCCGAGGTCCTTCATTCACCCACCTCCAACCTTTGTCTCCCCGCCCAATAGGTGCATCTGCAGGTGCTATTCTGTGAGATCCTCGTATGTATAAGGTCAAATTCGATCTAAATGGTCAAACCTTCCAACAAGATCCACATCTGGAATCCGGCAATGACCTAGTGACACCATGGACAACCCCTGCCCACATCGAGTGGTGACACCCCTCCCTGCATGAACTCCGAGCAGTAGTTCTGTGGACGTCGCCCGAGCATGAACTCCGAAAACCAAGCACGGGGGGTTTCACTCCGGATGTGGTGGGGAGAGTAATCCACTACACTCCACCCAGATCCGCTTCAACCACCAACCGGATCCGCGGCTGAAGAACATGAAATGACTCTATACAAAAGACAGAGACAGAGGGGGGAATCCTCTTCTAAAGTCTTCTAAAGAATCGAACGTCTAGTTCACCTGCCACGGTGGGGGCCATTTCCACCGCGCGCTTAGCCCTGGACGGTGGTGGACACCGTCGACGCCGTCCAGCTCTCCTGGGCTTCGCCATCCGTGGCGAAGAACCGGGCCCTCAATTCGCCGGTGCCATCCTCCACGGTGAACCTCGAGGTTCGAACGGGGTGTTCGGTTCGTCCGTGTTCGGTCAAGGACGAAGCAAGACGAAAAGGCAACACCGAACGAAGAGACGAGCTGAAACACATATGGAAACGCCTGTACAAAATAGTATGTCATTCATGCATATTACATGTATTAGAATGATATAGACAGATATAGAATGAGGATTTTTGATATTATATATAGAGAGAGAGCGAGCGATATCAAATGTACAGGGTTCAGTGTGTGAGTTTTCACTGGCAGTCGGGGAAAGGCTGGCACCTCAAATCCTTTGTCCTTATGGCCTTGAGAATTCTCGAAGCAGGGCCCCATGGTACCTTAGGTTGACTTAAGCAGGGCCCCATGGTGGCTTTTTAGGTCCCAAGGCCCAAGAAAGCCATCATGTGACACCATGTGACAGCCATCTTTGTGCAGAAAGTCAACCTCCTTTGCAAGCTCCCATGAAATCTCTCCAACCATGTGGGCATGTCTTGGCAACAACTTACCGTATACCCCGCCAACAGTTTGTGCGCCTGTACCTCATGTCTTGACACATCAAGACTCGTGAATGTGTTATGAGAAGACACCGCAAGGATGATCTTATTTCTCACAGCAAAACTGGTCCGACCGAGTGATGATCATACATCTCCTTTGAGATTAGAAGCTCTGCCATATTCGTCTGCTGCGCGTGGACAGCCTGAATGGATCATGAGCGGCGAGTCTAGAGAGTCTAGAGAGTCAGCTAGCCATCAGGGGGGACAAACTTCACGTGTATCAAATGCTGCTTCATGATCTTCCTGCACTGGCACATCAAGTATGAAGTACCCAAACATTCCAAACTGATCCAAACTGTTGCTTTTCGGTTGTCTGGAGCTGGAACAACGAAGTTCCCAAAGAATTGTTACGATGTGTTTCAGGAACAAATCCCAGAGGAAACCATGGCTTTCACCCCACAAGTATGGGTGTCCATGTAGATCGTCGAAGCCAACACGTCCAAGCGACCAAACCCGGACCACGAAGGGCCGAAGGGGGGCGTTGTTTAGAAGTCCTGTTGGCAAAAGAAGAACGTCAGTCTTTCAGGAAAACGGGATAGGTACATTCTGACCACGAGTCAGATCGAAGTGGATCATGCCATTTTGCTCTACGAACAGGGGGTTTCCACTTCCCATGTCAGAGTGAGTGGGAGAGTATCCTCTGGTTTGGTCGGACTCTTACTCTAGAAGGATCTGACACTCATTGTCAAAAACGCACCACTTTCTGAATTGTTCGACCAATTCGACCTCCGACCCACCAATTGCATTCAATAACCAGATCAAACAAGAGTTTGTGTCCACCTGAATCCAGTTCGGCCTTCACATTTGCCACCAGCAGCAGCATCCCAGGAGAGGTCTCGCTGCCTGGCTGATTTCAGACTTTGCTGCTTTCAGACTCTGTGAGATGCCTCCAATCCAAATCAATTCCATACAAGTCACACCCATATTTCCCCAGAAAAGGGGGACTTACCCAGTCCGGGAAAACAACCACCACCCGCTCCGCAACACCCCGAACATCCCGATCCGCGCCATGAAAATGCAGCTCGCCATCGCCATTGCTCTTCGACGCCGCATGTGCGATCTCCTGGTTCAGCGGCGGGGCTTGTCGCCACTTCCGCTGCGCTTCGCGGCGAACGGGACGGTCGCTCCGGTCGCTCAACCTATGGTCGCCTAAGCTCCCCAAGCTCGTGGTGTCGCGACGAAGGTTGGAAAGGGTCCCCAAACACGACACATGGGACTGGCTACTCCGATCAATTGATCTCAGGTCAACCACCCCTGGCCGTTTCTCTGCGAATTCACTCGCAGTCCGGTCGTGTCTGGGACTGGTTCCGCTTCGGTGTGCTTCATCAGCTGCTTCCGTTCGTGACCGGGTGCGAGCACAGCGCGGAACGGACCGACGGGTCGACACGGGTGCTTCGGACGCAACGGAGCACCGATGGTCGGTTTGCTGCTTCCCCTCGAAGAAAGGGGACATGGAGCATGTTTGGACCCTTTGATGACAAACCCAGTGGTTGGAAGGGTTCCAAAACAAGACAATATGATGTAAGAGCAGAGCACTATAGACCTTATGATGGGCAAATCAGGGTGCTGCCACCTAGAGAGATCGTTGCATCGTCGCATCGTCCTTTGTGCGATTTAAGAATCTGTTTCTTTCCGAGAACAAATGTGGTTCTGGCAGGTGGTTGACCTGGGGTCAATTGATCTCCCATGTCTGGGATCGAAAGTCGCGGAAGGATCGTTCGCAAGGCAAAAGGGATGGTCGTTCCAGGCGTAATCCTTCGTTAGAAATGATGTTTCTTCACCCGACCCCATTTCTCTCTATCTCTACGGGCTGACTTTGCTAGAGACTATCGAATTGAAGCGGGTCCGCTCTTGATGCATCTATCACGCAGCAACCAAGCTATTATTGACTCTGTGTTGAACTGTTGAACTCTCTCTCTCTCTCTCTTTCTCCCTCTCTCTTTACGTTCCAGCACACACCCTCCCGTTTCTCTCCAGCATTCGCACAGTGACTGGAAGCATGTTCCTGGCCGGTCGGGCTGTGACTGGAAGCCGCAGAGAACACACATATAGCCGTTCGACCGAAGATCTTGTTACAGTGGTTTCAGAGTAGATGGCACAATCCCCAAGTTGGGTGGCTTATATGGACCCCTTAAAAAAAAAAAAAAAAACCATCTTGGGGTCCCATCTACTCTGGAACCACCGCAGCTTCTATTTTTGTCAGGATTTCTGAGGTTAATGCCTTCTCACACTCTCCGCAGCATTGCGGGATGGGATGAGTTTGAGGTCTTTGGCACAAATGTTGGCAAGATTCCCAGTTCCCTTGGGAAGATGACCAGACTTAAGAATATTGGTTCATAGTTCGGAGATCACACATCCCTGTCCGGTGGTCAACTCACAAAAGCCTGGCTGGAATGATTTGTACAAGATCGACGACAAATCGGTAATTGAGCTGTATCTGGCTGTAGGATTGGATCTTCAATTAACCAAGTGCCTATCTGGTTTGACCACTTCTACCTGCTAGACTCTCTACCAATGGATTCAAAAGCAAGAAAAGGCTTTGATACAAGGATGACAAATATCCATAATAGATATCCAACGTGACCAGACTATATAAACCCGCAACATACCACAACCTGTCCTCATTGCGCAGCAATTTCAAGTAGTAGTCTATGGCCCTATAGGTGTGGACCTATTCTCCATCAAATTCAACTCCCAGGTCATCATCTCTACAACCAGTCCAAGTGAACTTCGCATCCTAGAATCATCAGGCACTATAAGTAACATATACCAGCACCATGGAAAGGGTGTCCATCAATAGCCCCAAAAAGGGGTCGACTCGGGGTGTCCAGAAAAACCACCCCGACTGGCTTGTTCTCTCAGTAACATATTCACCGAATACCGCTCAAGCTCAAGCTGTCCGTTCCCACCAGCGACTGCACAAAGAAAAATAACTTCTGCACGGGATCACGTCCGGTCATCAGCTCGGCGCTGCCTGCGAATTCGCAGTCTTCGATGAAGGCGAACCGCCCGCACGACGCTGGACAGTTCTCACATCTCTTGGGGGGGCGATCTCAGATTGACCAGCTAAGAGACCTTGAGGTAAAATGTTAAGTCCAACATGCAGTTGTAGAAGAGGTTTTTCAATCCATGTCTGGGAGAATTTATATTATACCGTATATACCTCAACTAGTACGTCTGCATTAATTTTTTCCCAGATCCCCCACAACGGTCAAGATCTTCCATCGCGATCCGTGTCGGTGCGGAGTCATTGAGAGTCATCGGCTCAATGCATTTTTTACATTGTAAACATAATGCATTGTGAATCTCTGAAGACAAATCAACCGCTGCCGTTTCCAGTTCAGGCTTTGTGGGAAGACGCTTGTTTTACATGTAAAAAATGTGTTGGTGACTTCGCACCAAAAACCGCATGGACCGGCGCACCTGTCAGGGGAGGCGATCTGAGATGCTCCCTGAGTTGCGAAGGAGATGCCACCTGAGTTGCGTGCGAGGTCGTCGACTTTCTCGCGTTCCATCCGAATTCGACATCCGAATCTCTTTTTGGGGAAATCGATGGGAATCGTTTTTCCGGACCTCGCATCAAAGAAGATTCAAGCATATGCAAGCTACCAGCTTTGAGGCCAATTCAGAAGAGGCGATCACTCGTTCTATCTTAACAAATTGGCGACCTTCACTCGTGCACTCAGTTTTTGTTGCGATGCTTATACAAGGAGCCTCTATATAGCTCCACCCCAGCGGGATGACGGATCTTTGGAATCTGTGCGGGTTTTGTCTGCTTTTGCTGTCGTCTCAAGCCGAGTCTTCCGGGTGTCGCAGGTGGTGCGCTGTGGTGTCGCTGTGGGCCTGTAAGAAAGGGTCACAAAAAGAACAACCTCTGAATCTGGCACGTGTCACTTGGAAGGACATACTAGTACTAGTAGTAAGAATGCTCCTTATACATCCTTATACGGTTTAAAGCCTTGGCTGTTTGTGTGCCAAGCTCGATCGTGCGTCACTGGGACGCCCGGGCCGAACATGATGGGCAGGTCGGACGTCTGCGGAACTCGGGCTACGGCGGCTGCTCTGAGGCGGTCGATGCTGCAGTGAGTCGAGTACGGCGCTGACGTCAATCATGGGACGATTTGGACGGAGGAGGTGAATCATCGACCAGGTCGTTTACTAACGTACCAGCACCCGACTTCACAGGTCACCCACCAGCTGCCGCATTTCAGTCTGCATTTCAGCCACCAGAACTCGGAGACCTTTCGGAGGGTGTTGGTACCCATTTTACGCTTAGACTTAGATCGTCCAACTTGTCAGCCTTTTCATCCATAAAACCAGCCAAGGTTGGCAGATGTTGCATTAAGACCTATATAGGCATATAGGTATACAAACGCCTGCACCAAGCATTTCCATGCATACTCATGGTACCCTTGGGAAATGACCGATGATTGTACCATTCTTTCAGGAAAGGATCACCCCTGTTCGCCACCAAACAAAAACGGTCGACAGCCAGGAGGGGCAGGACACGACGGAAGCAGGGCAGCAGCACTGGCTTCCGGAAGCGTCCCAGCCGTAGCCATACGACCTCATGAGGAAGCTGAGGAAGAATGACGGGGGCCGTGTGACGGGGACGGAGTGACTGGTATCCAAAAACCAAGATCGGAAGGACACCGAGTTTCGGTGGGTTCCGAAAAAGAAGTGTGGAGGAGACGTGAAAACTGCTGATTAAATCTTCCAAAAGCTTGGGAGGATTGATTACTGCCCTTCTTGTGGGTGAACCATAAAGAATAATTAATTGGATGGATGGACGGTTTGGTCTGAAAAAAAAGGGGGAGACTGAAGAAAACCAAAGACTCAACAAGAGCATGGGGACAAAGAAAACGGTGTTGTCTTTTGGGAGACCTCCTGGGTGTTTCACTCCATGGGGCTTTGGTGAATTGTGTTCTATTTTTTTAGATCGCTCCGTGGGGCTTTGGTGACTGAGCGGAAGAGTGGGTCTGAGCCACTCTGGTGTTTCACTCCATGCACTGGAAGAGCGGAGGTGAAGCAGAGCAAAGAGTGGAACCACGGAACTGAAAGACGAAGCATCAGATTCGCAACAGCTTCACTCAGAGGGAAGTGGAGTTAAGATGAGTTAAGAGTAGAGTGCATCAGGGGCATATGAACAGATTCCAAATCTTTACAACTCCCAAATTTGAAGCATGCACGATGCAGCAGCATGTCTGGATGACAGCTTTTAGCCGGACCATTCGGCGGTTGCGGAACCCGATTCCGGCAAAGTCGCACCGTCGTGCTCCTTACCTGGACCCTCCAGTTCGTACCCGAGAAAATGGGACATGAGTGACGTGACCCTATCTAAAAGTAAAGAAGCAGGTCCCTCCAGCTGCTTCCAAGGGGTCACCAATGGATATCTCCACACTACTTACAGGTCTCCATTGGGCACCCCTTGGAAGCGCTAGGTGTATTTATTTCTGAGAGGTACTAGGTACGAAGATATATATATGGCAGCTTCCATGGCAGCTCCATGGCGGGGTACCAGGCAGGGTACCGGGTGACTGGCTGTGGGTCACGGTCACCGAGCCCCGGGCTCCAGTTGCATCTGTTTCGACCATCCGTCGTGTCCGACTGCACACCCCTTCAGCTGTGCTCCGGGCTCATTGTACCCACCACCTGAAGACGATGCTCAGGAGCGGTGTGATGTTCAGGATGAAAAACAAATTCAACTCATGTCATAACTCGTCTCAGCAGGGACTCAGGTCACGAGGGCCTTTGTGGGATGCCGTTAAAATCACTCTTTAAGCTCTCTTTCTCAAGTGTGTTGTTGGGCAAAGACTCCTATGATGTGAAAACTAGCTTGTTTTTTACTGCGGACCTGTCCCTCTCTCTGTGCGTGCGTCCAAACTATATATCTGATCAGTTCACATCCAAACAAATGGAATCAACAAGTTCCTCTTCATTGTTTGGGGCTTAGCTCATCCTCAGAGTAAGCATGTCAAGGATTTGGGTGTCACTTCCCAAAAGAATGTTGCCTTTGGATCTGATGCAGAATGGCATGTCGAACTTGCATTTGCATGTATAAACATCTTCACCAAAAGGGACTTACCGAAGGAATAGACATCACCTCTATATATCAGCAACACCATGCTAATGTCCAATCGCCAAGAAGAGAGGAATCATAAACCCAGCGGGAACCACAAAAATCGGACTCTCCCAGGAAATGGAATGCTGGGCTGGATGCTCCTTCACTTCAGAAATGGCCCGAAATACCATCCATGGTGTCCCATTCTTTTCTTCGGGCACCTGCAGCCCCGTAGCCAACCTGACGCGAAGGAGGCGTGACGGCGATGGACCGTGAAGTCTATTCTTCGTTGCAGCCTGGAGCCACTCAGACTGAAAAGCATTGCATGGATGATCCATTTCTCAAGTCCAATGGTTAGCAAATGTTAGCAACAATTACATGGCTTCAAGAGTTATCTTGAGCTTACAATTCGGCAACCAATCGGTGCTCAGTGAAATTATCAGGAAATCATATACCTTTTTTGATGGGACGGTAGAACAAAACAAACACTTCCGACCACGCCATGGACATGAAGCTTGCACTTCCCTTACATCACTTCAATCCTGCCACGTCCTATAATTTCCATAAACAATGGTGTATATAGTTGAAAACAGTATCATAGTCATAGTTGAATTCGGACCTTGCAAAAGGCGTAGTTGTCGTGATTTCAATGCACTTGCTGGGAGAACTATGGACGATTAAAACGATCAAAGAAGTCCCTAGATGCTCACTACCCAGGAAAGGCCAAATGCAGTAGGGATGTCCACCTACCTAAGAAAAACAAACATACTTTCGATCAAGGGTCAATTTTCCACAGCGGCAACGACACGCATCGCGTCGCAGTGTGTGGCACCTCTTCATAGTACTGCTTGTTGGCAAGTCGACTCTCCTGCAAACCGAGTGTCACAGGGACTGTATACCTCTAGGATGCCCCCAGCACCGACCGTTGAGGTAAAACAAAGGGACGACGAAGGCAAACGAAGGCAAAAATGCCCAAACCAGACGAATGAGACTTGCATATTTACTTGCAATACCCTGGAACCACCCCAATGTACGTAAATATGATCACATGTCATATAATGCATATAATATTATAAAAACATGGACATATATTCACATGCTATGTCTGCAGTTGAGTAAATCCTCCCATTCCCCGCAACAGTGGATGATGATGGTCAGGTTGCAGGCCTGCCGAGCAGACAGCCTCTCTCTATTCCTGATGTGATGGTTCTTACGTGAAAACCGACTGCTACGGGCTGTCTGGGACCCCTTAAAAGCTTGGGCTGTCCGTGCCTTAGCCCTTCATACTCCTTGACCTCACTGTCGCCCTCTTCTGCATCGAAGCTTGGCTTGGTAGCCCTTTGTCGCCCCGGGACGTCGCCAGGTGGGACGCTGGATGAAATTCCACGCCTGAAAAAGGGTGATCCACGTGTTGGATGAACTTCCGAAAAAGGAACATCGACTCTGCGACGCTACTCCCCTGCCGAGAACCAACTCATCCCCGCCCTTTTTCCAGATCGGGTCGCCCGGTCGCATGTCGCCGACCAACCCGACGACGAGTGAATGAACAGCCCTGGTGGGTTCCGTGGAGAGAGCCCCAGCTGTTTGGAGGCCTTCGGAAAGCCTCGGAACACATAGGTTTGAGATTGCCTAAGCTAGGTCCTATAGGTATGGGCTCTCTATGGCTCTGTAAAACATGTGTGAACATATTTTGAACATATGTGTTGTTTTCATGGCCTTCAGACTCTACCTACTTCAGGCTCTATCTCAACACTATAGGTCACCAAATGATGGGCCCATATGATGGGCCATCCGAAGAATAACGGGAGAGTCAGAATGAAGTGGTGACACAACGGGTCGGTCAGGGGTCGGGGTCAAATCCAGCCCAACCTCGCGGGAGGTCGGGAGAGATCCACGGAACGGGCGCGGGGTGGCTGGTCCTCTCTGGCCTCCTTCTTCTTGAAGCTTTGGTGCTGGCGAAGATGGCGAAGGTTCAGAATGATTCAAGTTTGCTTAAGACTGGGTCGAAGACTGGGTCGAAGACGGGTCGATGGCCCATCCGGTCGAGTCACATGGCGGAGTCCTTGGATTCTGAAAGACTCGGGACAACCATGAGTTGTCCGGTCTTACCCAACAGTTCATGATTTTTGTTATCACTCCACGTTGGCTCATATGAGTTAGAGAGAGAGAGAGTGTATAGGACCCTCTCTAAAGATCCGCTTTTCGTCGCATCGATTCGCTGCACATGGATCAGATCTGATCGAGGGATGATGCCCTGTGGTCAGATTTACATCGAATCAAACACGGGAATCACACATATTCCACGCAGGGGATTCACCCATTTTGACAAAAACATCCTGCTTCTAAATTTTGCAGGATGGGCAACTTCCAATCTGACCAGGATGGGCCAGCTAGGATCACAGGAGTCTTTGTCAGCTCTCTTGGTTTATAAGTAAAGTCCCGGTCTTCCACACCGGCCTGATACTTCCAAAAAGCCGGCCCAGCATCATAAACCCTACACCTCCAAGTACCTCCTCAGGTCTTTGGACCTTCCGAACGCACCCCAAACACCTTCTCAGAAGGTACGACTGGAGGCCTAGGGAAAGAACATTGGGTCGTCTTTGGGAAGATCGGATCATCTACTACGGGTCGCTCTTCCAATCATCCTTCCTAGGTGTCACATGGTGTCACTTCTTTCAAGCCAAGAACCTCCGAACCTTCGATCTCTTTCATGGAGAGTATTCACGATATCCAGGACCTTCCTTCGTACCTTAAGTTCTTGACCCTACCCCTGTTCGATACATAAATGACAACTTCGAGCTTAAATTTCATTTCGTATCTTGAATTTATGCCTCGTCCTTTTTTTGAGAATTCGAGCGTTTTTTGAGCTTGCAAGCCATTTTGGTTTAGAAGACTGGCGGCAGGGGATGTGAGGTGCGCTCTGTGTGTGTGCGCATCCATGTTCAGCTCCATCAAGTTCCGGAATGGCCTGACAGGTGCATGGCGGTGCTGGCCTAACGGAGTATAAGATTGAAGCAGGTCCGCCCCACATCATGCATTTTCCTGTGGATGTACATCATATAAGGTGGACAATTTTTCTTGCTCTTTCCCTGTGGGCAGGTCTTGGACTACGACCTATTGGAATGTGGCAAGGGCATTCCAGTCATGTTTTGTGGTGCTGTTCTGGGTGAAAATAGAGGTGAGTTCAGTCTCGCCAGCCGAACCCATGTACAGGAGTAGGGTCAATAATATTAGGAAGGAAGGTCCTGGTATTTTATATATCCGTGACTGAACTTACCTCTACATAGCTTCACTGGCTGTGTCTTCTCATGCACCTGGGTACTTGGTGCAGCATTTGGCTTGGTGAGCGTTCCTTTATAGGTCATAGGCTTGGGTGAGAAATGTCGTCCCCTGTGGTGGAGGAATGGGCCCAATCAAAGGTCCTGATGAACAGAGCAGGGATGGGGCGCCTCTCCTTAGTCGCCAATGTGAAAACCATTGACCGGAAGGATGTAGTCTCGAACTCGGACGTGCTCATTCCAGTGATTAAATACCTGGGATGTAGAGTACCTGTCTCTCAGATTGCAGAGCACGTGGACATGTTTTTGAACTACGCGCGTCCCAAAGGTAAGGCGCCCCTATCAGGTCATTTTGCTGCATACTTTAATTGTGCTAATTGTCGTTTTGTGGCTTACCACTTCACTTCGCCCAAACCCTCCTGGACTGACTTCTTGCCCAGGTGATCATGCCAAATTCCAGGCATGGATTATCAAGAGGCTCATCTCAGAGTTCAATCGATCAGCTCGCCGTGGGCACTTCCCGCGGGAGAAGGGTATGCAGGATATCTACACAGAAACTGGGATGACCCTACCATTCAATCCACGTGCCTGGCCCTCTTCAGGTACCTTTAACTTATTTTTTTGGCAAGACTAGCAAAAACAACATGGGCCTCGTTCGTTGATCATTGTAACCCAAAAACTTTTCAAGGGTGGAGTGGAAGATTCTTTTCACCCATGGTTGATTTCTTAGGTGAAAAGCCAGCCGGTGACTCTGACTCTGACCATGATGGTGAAGAAGGCCATGAATGTGGTGAAAGCGAAGTGGATTCTGAAGTATCTTTCTTGCAATTTCTCAACTCCATTGCCCTGCATCTTGTCACACGCTGTCCTGTCCATTTGCTTAGGCAGAAGATGAAGAAGTAGCTGACCCGGGCCCACCACCTTCTGAAGGCCACTGTTTTCTCCCATCCGGTCCCAGCCTACCAACCGAGCATGGCCAGGTACATCTCCAACTCCTACTCCAATCCACACTCCACCTCCGCTGAGCAGAGTCTTGGCAGATTTTCAAGGGGTTGTGCATGTAGGTTTTTTCACCCTCCAAGCTGTCCAATCACATTTGACTTCCCCAATTTGTTGAGGAGGCAGCACATGCGATTTGGCGAGCACTGAGAAGGTCTTCCGGCATCGTGTGCTTCCCATTGGTGTTGGCTTCTATGGATGTCAGGATTGCAAAAAAACTGGCGATGATTTGTTGTCCCTTGTAGGGCAGCCATGTTTGGATGAGGTGGCCAAGGCTGACCCCGAGGTCTACCAAACCCCTCGTGAAGCAGTCCGGACTAACGATATTGGAAGCCCTTTAGTTCCAGTTGCACTGGAGGATGAAATGGCCAAATTGTCCTTGAATGATCAGGGAGAGAGTTCAAAAGCTGAGTCCCTAGAACCAACAGAGGACCAAACGGCTTTAGAAAACGAACTTGCCTTGCTGCGTGAGCAAGAACAATTGTTGGAAGAGATGGCCATCCTCGAGAGCTTGAAGGATGAAGAACACCGACTTTTTGAGGCTGAAAGATCTCTACTGAACTCTACCATTCCTGCATCTTCAAAGGCTGCCCCATGCCCTGCTGGTGCCTAGGCTGCTGTACTTGGAATGTACTTGTTGGAGGGGTATGCACTGGCTCAAGGTTTAGATGTTGATTGAGTTTGGCCAAGGTGTAGATGTCAATGCTATCGACACCTTGCCCTTTGAAGTCTTTCAGGACCGCCCACTCGTAGAGCACACATGGTTGATCTCTCTCTCTCTCTCTCATGCAGGAACCGGACCTTCCCATGCCCATGGAGCCTGAGATCGCCAAGACTTTGGGAGCCCCGGCGGAGGAGAAGGCGTGATTGACTGCCATGGTGACACATCAGCCTCAGTTGCAGGCATCAACAATGATCTTATACTGAGATAAAATGTGTTTGGTGCTAATCTAAAAGGGTCATCACCAAAATGTATAGGGTCTGTCTGCCTGTGTTGGTATACTCTTACATTGGGGGGCTGTGAGGGGTCGATATACAATGTGTTGTGTATATCACAACTCGCAGGAACTTGAAGTTGAGGAGAAAAAAGTTGTTGGTGGGGAAGGGAAAGAACCTGAGGTTGAGGAGACCAAGGGCAAAGCTGAGAGTGAGGGGATCATGACCCCGAGCCCATCCATGAAGGAACCTGCTGAAAGTGCTGAACCTGTCGGTGAAGAACCTGCTGAAAGTGCTGAACCTGTCGGTGAAGAACCTGC